TTAAATATATGAATTATTGTAGTATCTATATTAACTGGTGGTGGAGGGACTGGTGAATCTAATCTAACAGAAGCTAATCTATCTAACACTGCAGCTCCTACAGAATCCAGTAAATCTTTGGATACAGGTTAATATTGCTTTATATTTCTCTTTATATAGCCCAATAAGATACAGAATTTTTTTATGTCAAACTTTGATTCATATTCATATACTTGATCTTTTGCCACTTAAAAATTTTTTAACAGCTATTGCCAAAAAATCTACCACATGTACACACTCAAAATATTATTCTTAGAAACAACATTGTAATTGTCACATGAAGAAAAAAGAAATAAAGACTAAGAAAATACCAATAATAATGGACCAAATTCTGGTCTAGATACAATAGTTTGTCTTGCTTCGTGCAAGAATGAGACACGTAAACAAAAAGTTGAAAAAGACAAGAGATACAGATAACTTGCAGGCTCACGATAAACCTTTATAACATCATAGAACAAAATATATTTCTCCCCATGGCAGTAATTAGCTTCAATCCCTTCTTACATTCAAATATGCCATATTTAGCAAATGAAGTTAAGTTTTTAATGAAGAATTATGAAATAATGTCTGTAAACTGAGGTGGTTGTCATGGCAATATTAAACTTAATACCTTTGCTATAAGTCTTATCAGGAAAGTTTATAAAACCTTTTATTAAACATATTTTTTTACAAGTAAATTTGAATTATATAAGTGCAATAAATATTAAAGGGACTTGAAAGAGCTTGGTGGGTTTGTTCATGTATTGTTCTGATTTCTATTTCATGTCTATGTTTCATGTAGTTCTAAGAAACTTGTCCATAATATCGCATTACTTTTTCAAATACCATTTAAGCCAAGTGGGATTTATAAAAGAGATGCCATGATCTTTTGTTTTCTGGAATTAAAGGAAGGCAGATCTCAAATTAAAAATCTGATAAAAATATAACTAATTGAAACTGAAAATATTTTGTTAAAGGGACAAGTTCACCATCTGTTCAACCGATCATACCTTAGTCTCAGAACAGGAATTTTTAAGCTGAGCTAATCCAAAACAGTGTTTAAGTTACATTTTTCAAAAAAGAATTCTACATAAGGCCTATATAAGTTGACCTTAAATTGAAAATCTTCCTTTCGAAGTTATAAATAACATTATCTTTAGACTCTATCATAATCTTAGAAAAAGTATGATATCTAATCACCATAGTTTCACAGTTGATTAAGCAGACGCTAAAAATGAACAGATGACAAGACTCGGTTTAATATTAATAAATAATAGTTGAAATGGTAGTGCTTGATTACCTAATAGCCTTGTCTTCTGCTTTACACTAATTTAATACATATTTACATGGTCACAAATGAAGTTTAGGTCCTTAGGGTACCATCTTTTCTGAAGTAGAAAATTTGTCATTAAAAGGACTGTCTTTGCGAGTGGATAAAGATTAATTTGGCTAGTAGCTCTGTGAAAGTTTTTATAAATTGGTAGGATTATGGTGATCTATAGGTTTGTTAGTTTTAATATTAGGTTGACTTTAAACTTTTTAGAGTAATATCTTAAAATAATAATTGGATTTTATCTGAAGAAGAAAAAAATTGACCAAAAACACTAATATTGATGTGACATAATTTGGAAGTTAAATCTATCTATGGCTGCTAACAAGGAAAGAGGATTAGCAATACAAATTTTTTTTTACCTAAACCAATTGTATATATATATAAAAAAATGTACTTATGATCCAAACAGCCAATCGAAACCTAAGAAAAAAGAGCTTGGCAATACATTTTTATCCGCCAATGAACTTTTCTAATAAGGAAGTAGCCTAAATAAATGAAGAAGTATTTCATTATGAAAAGTGCACAAAGAACATGAATAGATCTGAAAATGGCTTGTTATATTCATGTATATTATTAAAGTAAATGTCAAGGAGGTCATCTGCTTTCAAAACCAACATAAAATATTAGTTTGGTGAGATCAAAATAAAGTAAAGATTTATATTTAATAAGATATCAAATTGAAATTAAACATGAATTGTATAAAAGCAGAAATAGAAAAATTTAAAACTAATGATATAAACTTTTTCATTGGATTTTTTTTTTTGTGGTGTATATAAAAACTCAACAAACTGAAATACTCTGATAACAGAACATTTACATTTACAGAAATACAAGATTATTTTCATCTGCTAATAGAATTTAACGTAACATTGTTGGGATATGGTAATTTTTGCATGATTAGCCTATCTAACCCTATATATTTAATCCCTGTCCCTCCAGGATTTGCTGAAGAAGAAGAGCTAGAGGGTTGTAATAATAGTTCTCCTAATAAAAGTGATGGTGATGATCCTGAACTCTATGAAATCGGGAAGAAACTAAAGGAATTGGCTGTGTCTGATTCTGATGAAGATGGTGGTAGTGGTTTAGAAGGTGATTGGCTGATCTCTTGAACTCTCTCTTAACTTGTCATACATCATCAGACATCATTAATGAAAACAAATCGAATACAAATAACATTTCACATCATTGATTTCATCAATTTAAATATTTAAAAATATGATTTTTTTGGTCACCATTCCAAACTTTTTTCAAAATTTTTTCAAAACTTGAAAAACCTACCAATTCATAGGCTTGATTTTTATAGCATTTACTCAAATTTTATTCATCAAAGAGTTTTTCGTAATACATGTATTTTATACAATGTTTTTGACTCCAGAACACTTATTGGATTTGTCATCTTATATCAGTTCGCCGAGTTGATTTTATTTTTCAAAAAATTCGTGACATTTATGATGATGATCATGTATGACAAGTTTAAATGTTGTGGTTAACTTTTCTATTTGTTCAGTTACTAATGTATTTCTTTATTTTTTTCCTACTTTCAGTTTCTAAATTTTTCTCTCTAATTGTTTATTGTTTCCTCTTCAGTTTTTCCTTAATATCTTTTTAACCATTTATTTTTAATTGTAAGATTTATTAAGAATTCTTTTTTTTACAGTAATGTCAAAATGGTAGTAAAATTTTTGTAACCTCAAAAATATTTCTTTTTGTTATGAAATATCATCTATATATTCTTAAAATATAAAAAGTGATGACACATTTGAGATTAATGGAATAGCCATGCACACATGTTACGCAATATATTTTTTTGGCATTTGATATTTTTGATATGAGAAAGAATCAATAGTTTGTATGCTAGCTAGATTCATATAAAAAATTTGAAAAATTTAGAGAGAATTTTTTTCCATCAAAGAAAAATGAAAATTGATAACATGGCTTCATGAGTTTAAGAAAAAAGGCAACTGGAAGAGACAAATTTCTTGTGTCTTTGTTTGTAAATTCATATTGTAGACTAAGATTAATGGTGTTTGTTTTCTGCATTGAATTATTGATGTGGCTAATGGAAATCGGGACTGATTTTTTATACAAGTCTGTAAAATTTTTTTAGCAGAACACAAAAAGCATGCGTAAAAGATTTTACGACTCAAGTTGATTAATGTGCTTGTTATGATCAGAAATCTCAGACCAATTTGAACTTGAAAGTTATCTGTATCATGAACTTGTTTTGAAAATCAGATTTCATAGGCTATGTTGTGTAATATTGCTGCCAGTATTTTGAGATATTCATATGACATACATTATAGTCTGTGTGTACCTGTTTTAGATCCTTTTACAAAATTTCTCTCATTGCACACTGCATTGTATCACCTATCTCCATTGATCCAATGAAGTGCAGAAAATAAGATGTAAAACTCAGACTATACAGTCCAGTATTTTTTGCTTGAACATAGTATTTATCTGACTTAATTCCTACATGATATTATTTATCTGCCGTATTCTGAAAGTCAAGTGTGATTTAGTTAAAATACTTAAAGAATATATACAGGGTACTATAAGCTGGTATACCTAATATGCTATATTATATTTGACATTTAATATAATTACCAGCAATGTTATTATTTACCCATAAACTAACCCAAAATGTCGCGCCTACTACAAGGTCACAGTATAGTCAGAAACACTACACTTTTCCTTTAGCATCAAAAGTGGTGCAATCGCAAGTTCTGTAATCTAACAGGCCTCATGCTACAGATGGTGCATGTGATAGATCATTAGAGTGGACTGATGAAAGATTGTTAAAATTTTCTTTCTTTCATACTGCTTGTCATCACTAGCAGAAAAATAGGATGTAAAACTCTATTTCATTTTCATTTTATTTCACTTCACAAAGTTTTATCAAGTCTGATGAACTTTGAAATAACTGTAGGCAAGGTTAGACTTATCTCTTTTTAACTTGGTTCTTTAATAGGGAAATAGAGTTTCGGACTAAGTTTCAGAACAAGCTCATTCTGTTCTATAAAATAATTTATTAATTAGGCCAAGTATTAATGATAAGAACAAGTTATGGCGAATTTGGATCATTTTACATACATACATGCACTAGTCAGACATCTTAGCTTCTAGATAAAACTTAGACCTTGAAGAAATCCAGAACCATTCTTTAGATGACATGATTTATGAAATGACGTCTGCTACTCCTAAATTACAGAGTGATGACAGCCTTCTTTTTGTTGCTAAGAAAAAGTCTAAAACTAAGCGTAAAAAACGATGTTGTCTATGTTGTTATTGTTGTTGTTGTTGCTGTGTTTCAGAAACAGAGAAAGAAGATTCTGGAATGGAAAGTAATAAAGAGATGAAGGTAATCCTGTGTGTTTTTTTTCTGTTTATGGAATAAAGAATTTATGTCTCAATATAAGTTGTGCAAACAGAGTTTCACTGCCGTCTGAAACCTTTCTAAAAATTTAATCAATTTGAAATTTTTGTAGACATAAAGTTTTGAAGATTTGAGACAAAGATAACAAAAGCTTAAAAAATGGTTTTCCATAAACAAACTGAGTTTTATGAGTGTCATGTTAGTTTTTGATGTTACTTTCAGAATCCACAAGAAATAGCTTTAAGTGAAAGTCGCATCTCTTCTCTGTCCAGGAAAGGTCAAATATATGTCTATGTAGCTAAATATGGCTATGATCCTTATACACAGTCACCTAATGAAATTCCCGATGCAGAATTACCTCTCAATGCTGGAGACTATGTTCTCATTCTTGGTGAAATGGATGAGGTTAGTAAACAATACATTCTTTACAATATGATTTTAACTCCATTATTTTATCGACTGAATACAGACATCAAGCCTTCAAGACTGGTTGATAGTGTCTACCACTTAACGTTCATTGAGCTAAAAAATGTATGCCATAAAGAAGTCTTATCATTTCCTGATCTTTTAGACTTAATATTTGAAATAAAGATACTACAAAAATCAAAGATGGTTGCCTTTTCATGTGTCCTTAATGAAGAGTTGGCATGGTGGGATATTTGACCAATTGAAAAAGACCTTTATTATATATAAAAATGTCCATACTAAGTAGCAAACAAACACTTTTTTTTATTGTTACGCAATAATGTTGATGTATTATAGGATGGTTTCTATGATGGTGAACTCGTTGATGGTCGTAAAGGATTGGTTCCCTCTAATTTTATTGAACGTGTTGACAGTAAGTGATTTGCCAAAGAACCTCATTTTTTTGTCAGTTGTTTGTTCAGTCTCATTTGCTAGTAAACAATGCATGTAAAGACAATTCATTTTCTATTATTTTCCTGAAATTTGTATGTATGAATTAAATAATACAAAAAAATTTACCAAGTTCATGCTGAATTGAACTGAACACTGTTTTATCTTTCTGATATCTTAAATCATAAGTTGTTGAAGGGAAATAAACCTTAATAAAAGATCAACATAAACAGTGGTTTAAGTATGTTTACAGGTATTGTTTCAATGTTTGATTGTTTCAGGTGATCATCTTGCTGATTTCCATGCTGCCATGGCGATGGCTCATTCTACTGCAGAAGAACCATCTCTCAGTAATAGCCAAAATCTATCTCAAGTAGATTTCGATGACTTTGAAAATACCACCGTTGAACCAGGTTAGTATGCAACCTTTTCTCCCAAAAAATAAAATAGAATGACTGTCAATATTTACACTCTTTATGGAAGTTATTTTTCCAATTGACCAATTTCAAATGAATTTTAATTAAAGAGATAAGGAAATTTCCAACTCAAAATGACAGCCTCCCTAAAAAAAATCCGTACACAGTAAAGATATCTATTAAAATTTTTTGTCACTTTGTGTTCCAGAAATTGCCTACCCAAGAGCATTATCACTAGACAGACAATTATCAAACTGTATCTATATCAGTTGGAAGCCACCAGACGGTAGTTTAGGTATGGATATCCAGTCCTATCAAGTCTATGTGGATGGAGAATTTCAATGTTCTGTTCGTGCCAATGAAAGAACTAAAGCTTTAGTTGAAAATGTAGATATGACTCAGGTAAGGAGGATTTCTGTTCAAATAAGAATATATTTAGCATAGTGAGCTTTGGACAAATGAATAACTTTTAGTGTTAGTGTGTGTTGAAACCATCAGAATTCTGTTTTTGAAATAAACATGAAGCAAACTGCTCTTATATCTTGTGTCAATTTAAATGAGTTGTTTTGATTTCAGCTTCATAGAGTTTGTGTTCGATGCATTACCAAAAGTGGCTATTCATCTCATGATGCTCAATGTACAATTTTAGTCGGAAAAGGTTGGTATATTTGATAACAAATATTTCTACTCATATATGGAATGATGTTAGATATAGGAAAGTGTATTTCCCGCCAAAAAATAATCTGGGAAGTCCATAAGCTTACAATATTTCATACTGTTTTACATTTCATAGATCATGTTACATATTGCTATCAACAGTACAAAATTTCAGTGGAACAAATCAAGGGCTACTTTTGCAGTTTATGATCATTTGGCTCAACACCATAAATATGCCTTTGATTCTAAATTTCATATTGACAATTATTTTATTGCTTGACCTCCTTTATAGATTCTTTACCTGTGCCTTCTGAGGTTAAAGTTAGTGATATTACCGCCATTTCTGCCACCATTAGTTGGTTGCCAGGCAACACAAATTACCAACATTCTGTATTAGTGAATGGGCGTGAAGCTAGTGTGGTCAAACCTGGTGTATGTAAATATGTTTTAACAGGTATGTTGATTAGTTATCTCAGATCTTTAAATAAAAACCAAGAAACACACCAAATGACTTGTTTTCATGTACCCAAACCTGCGGACCTGTACAATGTGGAACAACCTAATTTGTGCAAGGTGTTTTTAAAAATTCCTAATGTCAATAGTATTAGAATTTGACTGAAAAACCTTGCGTATTGTAGGGCTGGACCCTGGTACAAGTCATAGAATAATAGTTCGTGCCAAAAACTCTTCATTAAACTATGATGATGAGAGAAGTAGAAAACGTTTGGAACAACTGTCAGTTACTACTGAATTTAAAACTAAAGATGGTGGTAAGTTACTATGGAGTTCTTCTGTAAAGGAGGTAGGATTAAGGAAAAGAATCTTGTGATATAAAATAACATAACGGACTACAAGCTTTTGCTCCATTCAACCAACAATTCAAGATCACAATGTTACATCATAATTGTATTAGATGAGCAGTTTTACTGTTCCCTTTTAAGTAGTTATACTCAGATTCATGTTCAAACACCTATAACATGTATATGACTGTTTTACTTGTCGTTTGGATGTCATTCGGGTCTGAATACTATAATTGACAAATTCTAATCCTTATGTTATATAGGTCGTCCAGATCAACCAGTAGGGGTACAAGTAGAAAGTGGACCACAAGAAGGTACTTTATTACTAACCTGGATACCAGTGTCTATAAAAACTACCGGAATATCCAGTTCAGGTGGTGTTATTACTGGTTACAATATTTATATTGATGGTAGAAAAGCCAAAGAAGCTAAAGGTGCTACAAGTAAGTCTTTGGTTATACTATATTATCATCTGTGGAGAATGATATGATCTGTATTTTATTACTAGTATATGAAATTGGGTCTAATGAAATGAACAAAAAGAATCTCCTAGATGATTCTGAAGATCAGTACCACCAATAATCTCTGTCTGTGGTGTATAGACTATGGCAGGACATGTTCTTGATGTTACTCTACTCTTGGGTTTGACATCCTTCTTAGTGTGTTCACATAACTAATAATTTTTACTCTTGATTTTAGATGATCATGTTATCCTGAATGCTGGTGATTTTAATGGCTACATTCCCAAACAAATTAGTGTTCGTACTGTTACTGCTGATCAGACGGAATCAGAGGAGTCAGAAATAGTAACGTTAAATAGTAATTTAATCAAGGAGATCTCTGGTAGCAGAACTCAAGCTATAACTCCTGAAGTTATCATTAAAAACTCTGATATCAAAAAGGTATGTAACTATAGAATACTATTAATTATCATAATCTGAAAACTGTAGCTGTATGTATTATGATTAAATTTGGCAGGGTTGGTTTTTTTTTAGTTCTGATCAAAGATGCAGATTGATGTCAATTTTGAATAGTTTCATTTAAGGGCAATAGGGAAAATATTTTTACTTTTATATTGGATTGAGCTAAAACTTGTTGTTTTTTCAATGTTTAAAGGGGTTGTTAAGAGGTTTTTCTTAAATTTTTATGCGTATCCTAAAGCAGCGCTATGCACTATTTCAATTTTCAGTCATACGTAGGTTGTTCTTACAATCCCTCTAAATTGTTTTTATTGCTAGCGAGGTAGTGCATGCTTACCCTTTTGAAGAACTTGATACCACTGTGCCACTTGGTTTGTCAGCATCCTCTTTGGAGAGTCCACAGAGCTATTAGAATTTTTTGATATCTATCTGTATCTCTGATCATAAATTTCTGTATTATCTTGATTTTGTTCTTCCATTTTTATTTCACAATTTATTTTTCATCTAGCACTATTTTGATTTGCCCTCAGTTTCAGGAATGGTACTCTCAGTTTACCTGTGTATGTATTTAGATCATTTCAGTTTTGGCATGATGTATTGAAAATCTAACTTAATATTTATATTAAACAATGATTGCAAAATTATTAACTTCATTTTTACCAATCAATGGGAAAAATCATTCTAGTTTTCATTTTCAGTATCCTTCAATTATTGACTTCCTTGACTAGGTGATCTTTAAATTATATTTTCTTATCTCTTTGAAAAAGACTTGAGTTTGAAGCAACATTTGGCCAACATTTTGTTACAGAATGAACAAAAGAAACTCAACAAAGAAAAAAACTGAAAAAATTTTGTGTTTGCGTCATGGAACAGAAATGAAAACTGGATTGTTTTAATTGTTTAAGGGCAATTTGATGAATTAAACATTAATGTCACAGCATGATATCAATAACCTTTGACCTGAGTTATATAATTATGCGGTATGCATTTTTACATATTGACGTCTGCCATGTTTGAATTAACAGTTAATTTTCCCATAAGCACATATTCAAAATATATGACCTTTTCAATTTGTATCTCCATACCCCAAATCTACTGAACAATTTAAAGTTTTTTTTTATCAAGGGAAGGATTGGGGATGAGAGGGAGGGAGGGGTGGGGGGGGGGTTATTGTGAAAGACAAGTGACCTTATTCCCTAAATGAGATTTCTCTCAATTTCTATTTCTTTTGGAATGGTTTGATTTAATTAATGCTTGTTTATTTTGGTGCATTTGGAGCATTACTACATTATGTTAATTCTTATAATTTATGCATGTGTCTTTCCTTATCTTTACTTTATTTAGTCAACACAGCCATCTTTATCTGTGGCGTCTGCTGACAATGTGGGGCGGAATACAGAGGAAGATGTTGATTCAACATTCATGGGCATCAGTGATGATGGCAGCCATCTTGAAGATGCTAAACCTTCGGTGAGGATGTGTGTTGTAGAATAAATAACATTAGGACTAGAACAGTACCCTAACATAGTTCCATAGATTAACCTTATATAACATTGGCATTATTTTCAGCATTAACTTTTTGGGTCACTTAATTTTGGCACACAAGTTTTCAAATCAAAGTGGGTTTTAAAAGTTATATGAGATTGTTTGAAAATGACTTCTGAAAATTAGTATTGGAATTAGAATTGAAAAGCTATTTGTGTAAACTTTTTAACATTTTAAAGTTAACTGGACCAGTATTTTATAATTAGTTAGACTACATGTTAAAGCTTCCTGCATGTGTAAATATATACATAGCACATATATATTTTGCATGTGAACTCTATAAAAGTATATATTATATATAAATATTATATTAACTGTATAATTATATCACTAAAATTATATACTCAATTAATTTGATAAAATAATGATGTACAGAAATGTTCAGTGAAGACTCAAACATGGTTCTCATGCCTTCAGAACATATCCATCCTTGATCCATTTTGTTTTGGAAGGAGACTTAGGGAGTAAGTGTGTGCCAGATTGAATTTTAAAGCTTGCGTGATATATATCTTGTAACTGATGATCTGCAACTACTCTGGAAGGTGTAAAGAATGAACGAAGAAAGAATATGGCATGCTCTCAAAACAGGATAGAAGCAAAAATTAAAAGTTTTTCACTGGAAATCTTCTATACATCATTATTGTAGCCATAAGGCATCATTCGTAGATTGGATGAACCAAATATAATCAAAACTGCTTAAAGCTTAACAAAATACCATAGCATGAGCTTTGCATGGTCACCAGACATTTTTGGTTGATTCTTTTGTTGTTCTTTGTTGAGGCAGAATGCAGCTGTAAATTCGTCACAGTTTGTTGAACCTTATCTTGAAAGTAGCAGTTCGGAACTCTCTGATATCCAAGAAGTGGAGGAAGAAATGATCAGTACAGAAGAGACGAATAGCCATACAGCTACTGGTGAAATTGGCGGTCATCTTGGCCATCAGGTTAGCTGTTACATCCGTGGCAGATGCGTTTCTGTAATTTTAGTTTTGTTTATGAATTATTTGCGTATAAGTGTGGTTGTATCCAAACTGCATGAGGCTGTATGTTTGTCGATGTATATATTTTATTTTCCAAACAAAAATGGCTGCTATTTATTCACAGCGTCACCAATTTAACATGTTGCTTTTACTAAAACAGCTTATACTTATGGTGCTACATGTATTGTATTTTTTTGATAATGAAAATACTAACATATCAATTTTAATAGAGGCTATGTCGATATTAATACAAGCTTTGCTGTATATTAAATACACAAACTCAGCAAACATTTTTCACATTAAGTTGCAGTATGAATAAGATATGATCTATTCAAGTCAATTTCATGACATAAAATTAGTAGTAGATTAAGTACTTTTATTTTTGAGAAAATAAAATCAAATGTTAAGTGCCAAACTTATCTTGCCGGTTTGTAAACAGATCAAGGTCAATTCTTCAAATTTTCTAATAGTGCAATGAGACTTTTTATTTCCAGTACATGATTTCTTACATCAGAATTCACATTCAAGATATTTTGAGAAAGAATTTGATAATTGGAATTATATTATTCCAAAAACTCTGTTTACTCATTGTAATGACCAATCATTTGTACTGAAATCTATTTCATTATGTACTAGTTAGGGATAAGCAATAATTGTCTAAGTATAATGTTATAATGTACTGCTTTGCATAAACTCTTGAGCTAACATTTTTATACTAACTAATAAAATCTTGGCTTATGGTGCTACCACTTGTTTTAATACTTTCATTGTTGCTTATTCATAAACCTTTAAAAAAAATCTTGAATTAAAATGAAGGCAAATAAAGATCAAATATTGCATCTAAAGATTTTTTGAAAATAATTTTCAATTGTTTTTTTTTCTTTCGAAATTTGGAATCTATCAGACTTGTGATTGTTTCTGTTGTTTCAATAGTTGAAGAAATCACCACGACCAGCACCAAGAAAGAAGAGTCCTAGCCCAGGAGGTAATATTGGTGTTAAAGATCCTCATCACAGTCATCATTTAAAAACATCACAACCTCTTGAAATACCTGCTATTGGTAAGTTCAGATTCAGTTGAGTTACTGCTATGTTTTGACATACAGGCTTTCTGCAGATGTTGCTGACCATATATCACAAGCTGTTTTACTAAAAAGATGACAAAATGAAATTTGCAGTAATTAGGGGAAAACACTATAAATATTGATTTATACTGATAGTTTTATAGCCTCATTTACAAATACAAAAATTTCATGATGAATTTTTTATCTAAATATCATAATACCTACTTGAACCAATATTGCCCAGCGGCACATTCTGGACAAAAAATCATAGCTTCAGCTGATGGAGTGCTGATCACAATTATGAGTCATTTCTTGTTCATTTCAGAAATAACTAGAGATAGCAGTATAGAAAAAAGTTTCGAAGATGAAGGTGTTAATTCTCCAAAATCTCCTTTAAACAGTCCCAATAAATCAAAAACAAGCCCACGTGATAGTCCTAGAAAATCTCCAGAACATTTACCTCGAACAATTGGAACTGGAGGTGCATTCCGTGATGCTAGTAGACATAAACAGGAATTAGCTGAAAGTGATCGCCAAAGACAAGTCAATGCTATTGAAGGAAATAAAAATGTGCAAAGTCCTTTGTCGCCAGCATACAGAGGTAGTCCCTCAGATAGAACAAATGTGAATTTAAATCGTTCGCGACATAGTAGTGGTTATTCAGGACATGATGACTATGATGATGTCGATTCCATATCAGGGGAAATAAATCCACCTATTGATGATAATCAAGTTCGATTATTTGTAGCATTATTTGATTACGATCCTTCCATTATGTCACCTAATGTGGATTTCATTGATGAAGAGTTACCATTTAGAGAAGGACAAATTATAAAGGTAAGGATAAAAAAAAAACTTTTGATTCAATTCATAAGAAAAGGTTTGATTTTTTATACACACTTGGCATGGTGTAATAACACACTTGGCATGGTGTAAAAACACACTTGGCATGGTGTAAAAACACACTTGGCATTGCGTGAAAACACAATTGGTATTGTGTAAAAACACATAGGCAAAGAAAAAGAATACACTTTGTATGGTGTAAAAACACACTTGGCAAGGTGTAAAAACACATTTTGTATGGTGTCAAAACACATTAAAAAAAGGAGCAAAAACACACTTGGCCTGATGTAAATTTACAATAATGTATGGTATTATTATCCTATTGTAGATCTATGGTGAAAAAGATGCTGATGGTTTTTATCGTGGTGAATGTAATAATAGAGTTGGTTTTGTACCATGTAATATGGTGTCACAAGTTAGTTTTGATGATCCTGAAATTATAGATCAGCTATTAATAGAAAGTCAAAATAATCCTGATTCTAAATCTCTTCTACAATCTACTGGTAAGATTACATGGTTCTTTTAACATTGACAAATCATTGCCTTCTTTATATCTTAGTATTGTTGTAAAATTGGTTATACATTAAAAGACAAAAATAACATATTTCTATATCGCTCTACAATTGATGTATTGAGCACTATTATAAAAGTGAAAATATTTTCTTATATTATGGTTGTATAATATATATATTTTCAAATGCTTATATATGTTAGTAAAGACATCTGGACTTTAAGGCAACGGGAAGAAGCAATAGAGTATTAAACATGTAATGTGTGAATTGCAACTGACAAGTCTATGATATGCCTCATTCAATGATTGTATATTAATGGAGATTGCAGACTTCTTTTGTTGAATTTGAGCAATCCAGAAAATTCACTATCTCAAATAAAGTGGTTTATCAAATTACATTACAGAGAAAAAGATCAGAACTAGCCAATCAGCATCTTCCCAACTGACACAAAACGGTCTCTCCTCTTCTGATGGTGGAGGTAAAAAAAGGATGGTAGCTTTGTATGATTATGATCCACAAGAATTATCACCTAATGTTGATTCTGAGGTAAGGCAATATTTTTGATTGTGGGCATTAGCCAATTTTAGATAACAAATGTAGGGCTTAAAGATCCCTTGACAATTGGAAATCGAAAAAGATTATGCTGCTATCTTGGAAAAATGTCCATCATTGGACACTGCATAGAGTTTTCATGAACACATTTAGAAGTAAAAAAAGTAGGTAGTGAAAGTTCATATCCTTTGACAACTGGAAATGAAAGGCTACTATTGTTGCAAAATTTCAATCATTGTACACTGCATGGTGTTTCAAAATTAAAAGCAAGTGAAACTCCATTTCTTTTCTGATTTCAGATTGAGCTATCATTTAAAGCGGGTGATATTATCAATATAACGGGTGAAATGGATGAAGATGGTTTCTATGTGGGTGAAATGAATGGTGTACGAGGTTTCGTACCTTCTAATTTCCTACAAGAAGCTCCATTATATGATGATGAAGTATTAGAAAGTGCTAGTATGGTTTCACCTTCGCGATCTGGAGGCAGTATAAGTACCGTTTCACGTCAATCTGAGAATTTGAATAATGTAGGTGACAGTTTTACTGACATGCATGTGGCGCCCTCTCCTGGCAGTGATGGAAGTACTGGTATGAGTAGCTTCCCTTTTGTTTTGTCTTCATCTTTGTCTTCTGTGAGCCATAATTGATGTTAATTTCTAAATTGATTAAAGACCAATAGGGTACTTATTAATTCGATTTTGTCAGTTTTCCGGCTTTGCCAATATTGCCTATCCTTCTGATACAGAAGATGAAAAAATTCAAAACAGAAACTTATATGAAGGCTATTGTAGGCCCACTGGTTTTTTGTCAGACCCACAATGATATCAATCATGGCTTATAAAGAATACTTATGAATTTCAAACTCCCCGTGATGTTCATGTAACATTGCTTTAAAGTAGGGGAGAAGTTTTAGGTTGAAAAAGAAATTTCCAAAAATCAAATTTAGAGACCTTGTAGACCTTTTTGAATTATAATCAAACTCTTGGAAATGATAAATATTCAACAACATTTCAATTATCCAGTCCCATTTACTCTGCCATTTTTACAAAGTCTTGATCAAATTCAATGGTCACAAATCTTTCAAAGAAATGGCTGAATTAAGATGCCAGTTCAGGAAATTCATGAGTATTTACAATATATTATTATTATTTATTCAATCTACATGTTCCATCATTGTCATTTAATGTCAAATGTTTTGAAGGAGCTTTTTCTGTTAGTGTCCTGACTGTTCATTTGTGTCTAATTAATCACTTATCTTAAAAAGGAGATATCTTATTAATGCCCATGATGTCTGAATAATTTACATTATTAACATTATATTGAATTATTTCTGAATTATTTAGCATTTTCTGAGAGGTTGATTTAATGTATGATTAACATAAGGTGAACGTAAGATTTTTAAGCTCAATTTTAAAATATTTTTTACGATTTCCCTGGCAACAGATTTTGATTTTTGAGAAAGTATAAGACATACTCTATGATTGGAAGGGATCACAAAGTTAATAGTTTAAATATAATATACTATAGGACCTATTTGGAGAACTGAAAATATTAGTCAAAAAATATTGAAATTTGTTAAAATATTGATCTGAAGTGTCTTTGGTTAAATAGTGGTCACTATCATAGGTCAGTGGGGATTCACCAAAAGTGAAAGTTTCTACACAATGCGCCAATGTAGTTTAGTTTATAAACCCAACTACGGTAGGTGACTAAGTCTGGAAACCCAACTAGGTAACTAAGGCTAGAAACCCAACTAGTTAACTAAGGCTGGAAACCCAACTAAGTAACTAAGGCTGGAAACCCAACTAGGTAACTAAGGCTGGAAACCCAACCAAGTAACTAAGGGTAGAAACCCAACTAGGTAACTAAGGCTGGAAACCCAACTAAGTAACTAAGGCTGGAAACCCAACTAGGTAACTAAGTCTGGAAACCCAACCAAGTAACTAAGGCTGGAAACCCAACTAAGTAACTAAGGCTGGAAACCCAACTAGGTAACTAAGGCTGAATTGAATGAGGAAAGCTTTTAAAAGATGAGATATACAACAGTTTGGTTTAAAATGAACACTTTTGGATTCTGTGGTTATTTGCAAAATTTCCAAAGTTTGTCTTTGGTTTCAGCTATCACAATGGCAAACCAAATGTGGCTTTCATTGTTCAATATTTTTTGGGCTTGTGGTAATTTACGTTGTGCTTCACATACCCTTCCGAACTTATGTTTATAAAACAGTGTTAAGTGTTCTCTCGTTTTTATCCTCTCATTTTGTGGGAAATTATTTTTTTGGAATTGGTGTCTTCCTGTGTCTTTCTGGTGTTTTGGAATTCAGTGTTTTTAAACCCTTTTGTATTTATCCCCCATTTGTATTACATTCCCCTTTTTTATACAAATATATTTACTGGAAAATACATATACTTAATGATACTAACATGAGGGCAATTACTTGTGATAAACTTTTAATATTGTTAAGACAGAAATACTTGTATGTATTTTCAATTCTGAGTACTAATTTTGTTTTTCATTTGCCTTTCAGAATATGCGTATCGACACAGTGTCCCCACGAACCGAATCTCTTCCACCGAACTCTGCCCCCCAGGACGCAGATCAAATAACTCTGTTGAAATCTCAAACGCTCGACGACAAACCCAAGAAAAAAGGAGGAATTTTGAGTAAAGGGAAAAACATGTTTAAAAAATTATCCAGATAGCATTTTATGGAGTGAGTGACAACAATATTTATAAAAAGCCTTGGAATATTATCTTCAAGTGACTTCTAACTGTGCTCATTTTATTGTGACATCATCTTTCATAATATTATAGTCTTTCTAGAATATTCCATATATTGTGACCTATTGACCTCTAGCTGCCATGATTTTTAGTCTACCACTACATCAATGTGCAAATTTTGATTGGAGACACCATATTTGGAGTAAAATCGTGACATGCCCACCAGTTGATTATTACAATTCAATTTTATTATCCTATTTATGTATACTGATAATGGAAAAGAAACGAAGGTCTACATAGGATGATTTTAAGATTGGTTTCCCATCTTTATTCATTTTGGTAGAACATGAAAAATTGTGCACCTTTTTATAAACAAAAAGTGCTGTCGTGGTTCATAGCTTTCAAATGAATTCCAACTACTTCCCATAATACATTTAGAGCAACAAGTCTGTCAAACTGTCAAATGAGAGACTGTATGAAGTCCTAGATGTGATGGTCAAAAGTGGTCTTCAGAAAGAGTACATGTACCTTACTTCTAAATTTAGAGAAGGACAACTGCTCTGTTGATAGTGCTGTCTTTATGCATCATTTTCGTTTGTTACTTGAAAGTGTATTTTTTAAGTTTCATTGTGGAATCTGCACATGAACCATGAAAATCAGTTGACCTTTTTTCCCAATCAGACACACGTCATTCAAACTGGGCAAAGATCATCTGGCAGACATTATGTTATCCTATACTTTTCCAGACTACAAAGAACTTTTTAGAAAATTAACATATTCAGAATATGAAATGGAACTAGAGATGTAACTCTATGCTATGAGCTATGCTAATCATTGTGTGTTTGTGTTTATGTGTTAATATAACAACACTGTCAAATATATCAGACCAGTATTCATATCTGTGATGACTCCTAATCAATAGTGACAGTCACTATGATGACTCCTAATCAATAGTGACAGTCAGTATGATGACTCCTAATCAATAGTGATAGTCACTATGATGACTCAAAATCAGTAGTAACACTTGCTATTTTGGTTAAGGGTTCTGTCACAGGTGTGAATTTCTTCAAATTATCTGTGATAATTGTGCCTCTTGTTAAATTCATTTCTCTGTTATGTTATGTGTGATTTAACTTATGATTCTTGTTCTTGATTCTGAATTAAATAACGCCCAAAAATGAATTGAAAAGTTGATTACATCTTTATGTCATGCTAATGGGATGAGTTTACTTGTGATATTGTAACATGCTGCAAAAATTGAAAATCAAAGACAAGTTCAAGGCTATAGGTTGAAATAGATACTAATAACCCACATAGAACTGCGAGAATGATACATGTATTTGTACAATTTTGCAGTCAAAATCACCAGCTGTTTGTTTTGACTTTACATTGATTATGAACGAACCTTCTTAAAGAATGTCATTTAGTTTAGATAACTTCAAATAAGAAAACTTGCCAGACCAAAGTTTGTATTTTTGCAGCTGGTAATAAAGATTATTCCATGAATCCTTGGGACCAAAAGACAATGTTTTTTTTTTTATATTTGGTAACTTACAAACAAGATCATCATATGTTTAGGAATATAGTAATAAACATGGCATTGTAAATATGTCATCAAATATTGAGTACTTATATTCATTAGATTAACCACAAAACCGTTCACTAATAGCATGGAATACACCCATCTTTGACCGAATTGACTGGTTTTGTGGTCAAAAGGCATTTATTTATATGGAAATCACAACTGTATATTACTTTATTGTTAAGATTATTTAAGCATTTTACAAAACAAGGTACAAAACTGTTGAGTTAATGATACAGCTAAGTTAAATGTTATTTGTATTAGTTATATCCCAGAAAGAGCTGGCTGAGGAGGGAACTTTTTCCAATCAATGTTGATATTGTAGAAATAGTCATTGTATACTTGTGAGATTTGTTACTCAAAATAATTTATTTTTCAAATAAATAAATACAAAACTTGTTCTGTTTTTACATAACCACATATTTTAATGGTCTGGAGATGGAACCAAATGCCCAAAAATTGTCACATTTTTATGAAAATTTCTGCTTCTGCTGGCATATTGATAGAGGTAATTGGTGCCTTCAAGGATTATTTCCACCTTTGTCTCACTTGTGAGAACGAAACTTCAAGGTTTTTGTTTTGCCACTGATGGCAAACTTATCCGGCCTAAATATGCCAGTACATATCTGCACGTTTATTGACATTTCTACTTGGAATATCTTCTGATATTCCTTTCCTACATCTCAGAAGCAGGATTGTTCAGACGGGTTAATGGAATAAGAAAACATTAAATATGGTAAATTATATTTGAATATATCACAGATCATAGTTAAAACAAGGCATATAAATACTTAATAACGAGACAACAATGTGTAATGCTGATTTATTTTTTTTTTGGTAATTCAGGTTGGTTTGACAGATGGAATAGTGAACAAAAATTAAAATTGGAAATGAAAACAACCACGAATGGTTGACATGGATGATAGAACTTATCACACTGCCACAATTCGAATGTGAAAAGTGTTTTCAAGCTATTTGAAAATTAAATCTTGGAAGATCACAATGTAGTTATTCATCATTTTCTTTTTGTGGAGTTTCTTCATCATCCACAACATTATCAGACGACACATTTTCATCTTCATTTTGTCTCATTTTCTTCATATGTTCAATTAATGACAGACACACAAATACCCAGTTGTACATATACTGAGCTGGTAGAGACCCATGTTTACCCACTTCACCATGGGGAACATCTGAAAATTAATAAAAAATATTCATTAACTGTTGCCTGATAATTCCAAATTATGTCCCCTTATCAACTGTCTAAGATTCAGACCACAAACTACTTACAAGGCTGTTAAATTTCATAGAATTAATTCGAACAGTGAACACCTATTCATCTAAGCAAACTGAGGCTGAAAATGCTTGGTGTTTGGTCGATATACTGTCCAATTCTTGCAAGTTTGCATTTCAAAAACTTAAATTGTGAATTGTCTTTTGACTTACCTTTCATGTATAATTCTATTTTATCAGAAGGTAATGTTAAATCAGTTTGGGCTGTAGGATCATAGGATGCTATTTTCTGACTTAATTCAACATTAATATACTGTAATAAACAATTATTATAAACATCAGGTGACATATTCTCGAAACAATCTTAGCACCAGGATGTTCTAGGGTCTTAATTTCTAACACTGATAGCACTAGGATCGTTTGAGAATACATGGCCAGGATTATCTCTGCAGCACCATGCAGTACTCAAGAGGAAAATATTGGTAGGGAAACAGCACTTTTCTTGATGTCTTTCTCATGCAAATACAGTAGTACAAGGGACATTGTGTTAAATAGTTAAACAAAATGCCCCAATAATTTTTTAAAAGTGCTCTGACTAGTTGAAATTAAGCTCTATGAGCTGGAATAGAAGATATATAGACAGACATTTGGGATTTTAAGAAAAATCCTCCTGAAGACACCATAAAATGTAAAATATATACTTACTGATGATAATTTAACCCAATCATCAAACTCTCCTTCATCAGCCTTCTCAAAATAAAATATAGCTAATGTTGCTTTTAATATATCTCTAATAATCTGAGGTGGATCTTTATAACTTCTTAATTCAGCATAGGCTTTCTTATCTAGCTTACTGACATTATCTCTTAACTCCATTAACATTAGTCTATCAAACATAATATCAGTTCTAGTTTCATCATTCTGTTCACCCTCTACAATACAAAAAAAAATCCCCATAAAACAGGGCCTAGTTTTTCTGACACTAATTTAGCTAATAACTGTTAAAATATCTATCAGAGGTCAGAATAGAGGCAGATGTTTCGGATCTATCACTAAAGAGCAAACCCAGTTTCCTGGTTAATTCTAGCATCCAAGAAAGATCTAACTACATAGGAAGTCCTCAGTTTCACATAGAAATGTAAATATACTAGTGAAGCTAGTCATTTGTCCCCCTCTCATTGATTATGACATGATATTTCTTTTGTAACAAATTATAAAATGTGCAAAAGCCATAAACATGCTTTACCCAAGACTCTCAATTTTTCAGCACCATGGAATTCTTTAGTAATTTCTTTATGTGCCATTTGTAAGATACGTAACATTCTTTGTATTTCTTTATTTTCATGAGGAGGTAGTTTCTTCATATCACCTATACTAATATCAACTAGAGCTATAGCCTTTCCTTCATCATCACGTAGAGGAAAGGCTAGGTGGCGCTCTCCATATGCGTCTGCTGTCACTGTTTCAGAATTATCTACACATTTAAATAAGTAATCCCTGAAAAAATATGTGAAATATAAATCTTTAGAATTAGAATATAGTAGTTAAAAGACCAGAAATAAATTCAAAATTTTTCTAGTTAGAGTGATTAAAATGTAGCAGTTGAAACATTAAAATATCAGAATTTAATAGTCCTTGGTATTGACCTTTCCTGGATATCTTTACCCATATATAGCTGGATCATCAGATACAATGAGATAATATGACTTATTCCTGATTAAGATTAGAATATTTTTCTGACCAAGCAAACAACATCCTATAAAGTTTCGAACACTTTCACTTTTCTACAAAATTTAGCTGAAATTACCTAAATAGATTATCTTTGCGTTCTAGTCGAGGTGGATTAATACTATATTCTGGTGAACCTTTCTGAGATGTCGCCAACATTTTACGTAAGACATAATCTGGGCCTTTAATAGATGGTTCAGCCATATACTCTACTACTTCACGAACATGAGGACTGCGTCTCTGTATCCATGATATAGCACTCTCTGTTATTCTTAACAATTTCTTTCTCATATCTATATGATGATAGGCTATACTGAATGCTTTGGCTATACCCTACAAAAAATAAAAATCATTTTGATCAAGTTAGTCATAACTATTTGTCAGAAATCAGTGGAAAGGATGAATAGGTCATTCCCTTCTATGAAATAAGAAGAATAGTTAAATTTCGGTGCCACCAAAGTCTGTATTTTGGGGGAAGTAGAAAGAAATCCCTAAAAATGTCAAGGGCGCAATATGCCCCAAATGAATGGGCTTATATAACATGTCCTAAAAGTGTTAAGTTACAGAAAGACATTCTGGAGAATGTCGAACCTATCCTGCAATAATACCTCAAAAAACAATGCTAACTTACCTGGAAAAATTGTATCTCATGTGTAATAAATATAGCTTTAGTATGGGGATCAGCTATTGTATCAATACCCAATAAACCAAACGTTCTCTTTCTCTTATCTTTTAATGGTATAACAATAAATGATCCTTCTCTCTCCTGAATTAATAAATGTGGTCCCTATACTTTAAGTTCTAGTTTTATGCTTCTCTTATGTTCCAAATACAAATCTATAGAACAAATAACTATCATTCCTTTCGTGAACAGGCAGTGAGTTACAATCTTGATGGATATGTGAAAGTCTGGTGATCCTTCCTCATTATTCCAGTCCAGTGTAAATTGGTATGGAAAATCTGGGAAAGATCAATGCCAAGAAGTTTGGCAAAGGACTATCTGGTAAACAGAATCCTTAAGAACTTAAGTCCTTAACCTTCTTTGCTCATTTTTTCTTACAACTGAACTGCAGACAAGACTTTTTTGGAATAAAATCTGCGTCAAAATTAAACTTTCAGGATTGTTTCTGATACCAAACACCTGGTCTCCATGATTAAATATCCAATAAAAGGCAGTAGAAATATACTCAAAATCAGCTGAATAATTTACTTGTAATGTACTCATGTAAAAATTACTCAAGACTTACCTCAGGACGTCTGTGTGTATTCCAGAAATAAATATTACCATGATTAGCAACACGAGGAACATGGATTGGTTTTCCTGACTCCAGCGCAGAAAAACTGACACCTTTCATATCCTTATATAGACATTTATCTAACATATAGTCTGCATCCTCTGGTGTCACGGCAACGTAACGTAAACAAGTATCACCACGTTGAGGGTATTTAGTGTTACGTTCAGACATTGATATACTAGCACAGATTTTCTTTCCTCCACCATGAGCTTCAGCATCCTGAAAAATCATCATAAAATTGTATGCCTTGTTTCTATGGTAACCAACAGCGATCATTTTTGAAAAACCTTTTCTTTATGTGGGCTCAGCCATTAAATAGGCCTACTGTACAAAAGTGTATTATCAATTTAGACACTCTGCCATTTGTAATTGATTGCTGGTGCCGAAGGTATAGAAAACCGTACCAAACATGACAAAGGGACAATATCAGTTTTATGTACCTTCAAAGCATTCTGTAAGTAGTGTTACCCATAAGACAGTAACTGAATTTTATTTTGGTGAAATATTTACTACCGATACTCATCTTGACAAAATCTTGCAGCACTTGTCCAGATCTGACCTGGCCTTGCTCTGGGTTAGCCAGATTTTTATTAGTTTCATCATTTACCTTATATAATGCCTGGAAGACAGCTCTATAGACAGGTTCCATACTAGCAGCACCAGTTTCAGCAGCTGTTACTATCTGTTGTAACCATTTCTTTCTAGCCTCACCTCTAATACGATCAGAATAAGATCTCTAGAAAAATATAATTCAGAGGCATCACATCTTAGAACAAAATAAAGTGAATTTGTGGATATTTTTCAATTTTCCCTGCAGTTCGAACAATTGAAAATTAATCCCCATTTCCATGCCAGTTGTCCTGGTGAGGGTTTTATATCATAAACATAGGATGAGATTAGAAAAAAAGGATGAATTCTGGTACAACCATCTAACAAATGAAGACAAACTTGTTCCTATAACCTACCTCTACACTATTTGTCAGGAACTCTAGGAAAGAATCAAATGTTTCAGAGCCTGGAATTTCTTGGACCACAGATAAGACTAACATTCTAAATTCTCGTTTACTTAATCTTTGATCCTGGAATCTAGATTTCTTCTTCATTTCTTCCTTGGCTACAAACAAAAAAATGAATTGAATAGAAACAAAGTTTTATGCCCTTCCCTTTTTGCACCTGATTTGGTTAAGAAATAAATTCATGGGTTAATTAAGTAATGAAGAAAATTTAGCCATGACAACAGCATTAGCCAACTCATTTTAAATTTTCAACCCCCAAGGAATTTTGTGTCTGTAGCACAAGGGACAGAATAATCTAAAAGTATAATCCCAACCTATACTGGGATCAAACCCAGGATCTTCAGGTTAACAAGTAGGCTTTAATTGTTTGGGACAAAGTGAACACCATGTAGATTAAAAAGGACAATACTTGTAAATTATTGGCATTCTCTCTATATAGTGGTATTCACTCATCAGGCTTAATGCAACAATAATTTTAGAGCACCAACAATTTATATTATTGCACCTATAATGGTAATGTCTGACAAAATAGACCATGATTTAAAACATACCAAAATAGATAGCTTCAGCTTCTTGTCCATCCTTATATTTTAACATGACATTTTCTACTTCTTCTAAATCTAAAAATCCTGATCCATCATTATCCCACTTCTCAAATAATACATCTATCATAGTTTTACGTTTAGCAGACACAGCCTCTCTTCTAGCCTACAACATCATATAATCATTGAATCACAGATTGATATGTCAAATATATAAATTGTTAACATACAATATATGCTGGAGCTAAAACATAAATATCAACAGAAGATAATATATAATTCTGATCTAGTCTTGTCATTCGTATCGTGGAATATGCCAACATGGCAGCTGTGTGTGGTACCCAACAAAACTTGCCTGATCATCAAAGGAATGACGAGAAAAGGCTAGTTTCTATTGATTTGATGATTATTGGTCTCTGCCAAAAACTGTGGCTGATAGAGGCAATACTAGCTAGTACCTGGCATTATCAGAATATTTTCTTAGTCCAAGTCATTTTAAATAACATGACAAAAATTATTACCTTCTTTAATCTGTCCATTTTTTCTTCTTCTGTCTCTTCATAGCCATTTTTGATAAATTTCAGCAACTGTGCAAATATTTCTTTCCTGGGATCATCACCTAGGAATGTTTCTGTAAGTTGAACAAACTGGGAAACATTGAGAGAATTTTCATCAAATGCTGACATCTGGGATTGACTTCTGCTGGTTATTGTTAGACCTGAATATACATAAACAAAAAAAGTTGTAAGGAAATCAGTGTCCACATATCTGTTTATCGTTACCATCTCCAGAATATCTGGACAGTAAAATGGCTATTGATGCTTTTGAGAAGATTTTAAAATGTAATGTAATAGGTTTTATTAATATTCAATTTTTGACATAAAAAAAGTATATGGTTTGTTGGAGATTAAAAATTGGTTGCTATGGATATAAGGAAGAATATATTATGATCATTTCAAGAAACAATTTTACCTGTTTTTTGTCTTTGAAATGCAGTTCCTTCAGCAAAACTGACACTTATCCGTCCATTAACAATTGGAACATTATCATCTGATTTAGTTTTCACCAATGGTTCTATAACACTTCCTGTAATATCATAAAAATTTGCCATGGTTTTGATTAACTTAAAAGTGTTTTTTTTTTCTTGCTTAAAACATTTATTTAATCAGCAAATTTTTCTCACAATAAGTCAATTTCACTATTCTAACCTAGCTGTAAATGAATAGATAATCTGTGTAAGATCAATGTAGACCTAGAGAGTTGTCCAAAGACTAGCTGGTAGCAGTATTCTAAATTGTTGTTGAACTAAACAATGAAATTTCATTTACTTGTTTGCCAGTTATTCCGTAACTATCTGAAAAATGATTAAAGAAAAAAAAACAATTTTCTAAATTCAGAACGTACCTGCAATTCCAATATTTGATTCAGTACCGGTAGTTTCCTTTTCTTTTGTTTCTGATGGTAATTCTAGAACATCATTTTTCACTTCTGCTTCCATGTTATCTGCTGCTTGTTCTACAGTAGGAGTTTTCTCTGTTTCATTGACGTATGTGTCAAGAGGCTTTACTTCTTCTTCAGTAGGTGCAGTTTCAGCTTCTGTCTGTTCAGTTTCAGACACATCTTTTGTATCCATAACAACCTCTATTTGTTCTGCTGACTTTTCTGTTGATTCCTGCACTGTAGGCTCATCTCCTGTAAATATTTCATGTAATGTTCAAGAGTAACATGTATTTAAGGCCATCTCAAATTTCTTCTGGTGATTTGTTACAAGTTCGAATCTTAGTTTGAGTTTAGCAGTTGTCAAATCATTTCAAAGATGTCTGACAAAGACAAGTAGCTAGTCAACACAATTCCTTACCTGAAGCTTGTTCATTTGTTTTGGGTACATCTTCAGACTGAGCAACAGCTTCTTGGGACTCAGTTGCTGTTTCTGTTAGAGGTTCTTCTTTTTCTGCCACAGATTCTTGTACATCTGTTGCAGGTTCTTCTGTGTCATTCATTGGTTCTTGATCAACTACTATGTCTTGTGTTTCTGCTGCTGGTTCTTGAGCATCAGTTGCAGTTTCTGGAGAGAGTTCTTCTGTGTCTGCTTTATTGTCTAATGGATCTTCTTCATCATCACTAACTGTATCATCAGCTTCATCAACTTCTACTACTGGCCCTGAAACAGTTAACATCACAAATCCTGAAGCTGATAAACCACAAGCTTATAGTGATATTTAAATGACTAGCTGGCAATATAGGGATTGTAATATACCCATCTGTGTTTTACTGAAATATTATATCTTCTGCTGTCTGATGAAAACTTACATTTTCTTGGATTCCTCATGACTTTCTTGTGATCGTCAGCTTCTTGGTCCCAAAATTGTTCAAACAAATTTAAAATACGATGTCTATCTAGTTGAGCAATCTGAAAAAAACATCCATAGGTTATGAAAAGAACAAATATGAAAAAGGCATGACATTTCGTACTTTTACATCAAAATTTAAGATTTCCAAGACACTAATTACTGTGGCTGATGCTGATGTTACTACAGTAACTACCACCATATCACCGAAGAATCAAAACAAATTCAAAATGGCTATACTTACTCCACTATGATCACATTTAATAAATAAGTTAGATAATAATATTCTACGTTGTTCTCTTTCATTTGACGCACGATATGCAGCAGCACATTTAGACATGTGTTCCATAAACTGTTCAAATATTTCAGTTGGCAGTTCAGATATATACTCATTCATAAACTGTAATAACCAAGAAAACATATTTTATTTCACAAAATTACATTCATAATTATAGTTAACATTTAAAAACAGACAATGATTTTAGGCCCTACAAAGACTTATATGTGAAAACAAACAAAATAATAATCACTTTTGATTTCACCTCAAAATATGTCTGAATTGTTTTTCTCCTGCTTCAAGTATTTTTCAAAGGTGTAAAGCATTTTCACAGACACTTAAGACTACATCTATGTTTGGAAGGACATTAAAATCTACTTCCTTGTTACAAGGGCAATCAAGACCAAATTTTGTTGTTTTAGGACAAATCCTTGTTTTCAAGGGCATTCAAAGTCAAATTTTGTTTTCCATGGACAAATCCTTGTTTTTAAGGACATTCAATGTCAAATTTTGTTTTCCAAGGACAAATCCTTGTTTTTAAGGACATTCAAAGTCAATTTTGTTTTCCAAGGACAAATCCTCATTTCAAGGACATTCAAAGTCAAATTTTGTTTTCCAAGGACAAATCCTCGTTTTCAAGGACATTTAATGCTTGGCTGTGTAAATTGAATAAAATTATTCAAAACAAACCTGGACAAATTCACTCAAGGTTAACATTCTACCAGTTTCATCTGTTGGTTCTAAAGTATGACCTAACTGAGATGCTTTCTTCAATTCCTCTGGGAAATGTTCTGTAATTTCTGTAAATGATCTCAATGCATTCTGGAACTGTTAAGAAAAAAAAGGCAAAAAAATAAAACATTGAACTAAAACCACTCTAATAATACAGGAATAAGTTGTCTCAATATCTGCTATATCAGATATATATACTGATGAGGCAGTAAGGATATTGGTAGTAATAACAATTAATAGTTACCTACAGTTTAGTGACAACATGTTAAACTTCCACGGTACCTTTTTGTAAAATAGTAGGAGAACTGGGCTTTGAATTTTGATCATAAAATGAATTGTAAAGTTAAATAGGCCCTATCTGGTGGTAAAGATAATATTCAAACTCCTTAATACAGGTACAAAAACCTTTTTCCAAACCAGAAATATTATGTTCATCTTACCAATGATAGTTCAACTTTACCATCTACAGCAACATTCCATTCTGTAAATTGTTTTAACAATAAAGTGGATCTTCTTTCTTTTTCTTGCAACTGTTGTTCCTGTTGACGTTCTCTATCCTCTCTTCTACGTTTAACATCAGCTTTTATTTTAGCAAGTCTAAAACATAAAATAATTGTGATAAAGAGATGGAATTACTGTTGTTTTATTTTGGAAGCCACGGTGGTATTTTTCCTGTCAGTGATGCAGGTCCAAGAAACTGAGATTGAAAAGGCATCTAGTTGTTCGGAAGGAATAATAAACAGAGGCCCAGTGTGCTACAGGTTGTAATCATTAATGATCCCTCAACAGTTGAAAATCGAAAAAAAGAATAGGCTTATACAGCTGTCCTTGCAATTCACAATGCTTAAGCCCATTTAGGTGTTGAAGAATAAGATTTCATTTTATTTTGATTAGCTATAGCTTAAAATGTTTAGTTTTTGTATATTTATTTCTTATTGATTATCCTTGTTTCCTCAACAAAAATGGATTTTTTTTTAGGTGTAAGCTTATAGACAGTGTAGTGTTTAATGTAGATTTATCTAACACTAGTAAATATTTCAGAGAGCATTTCATTACTCCTAACCTGTTATCTTCTAAATTAAAGAGTTGATTTCTGAGATCTTCTGAAACTTGTCTCAATCCTCGTACGTAAGGTGAAGCTTCCGGGAAATTAGAAAATCTAGGGTTATTCCGTAAGAGATATTGAGCTAAAAAATCTAAAGGATTAAAGTTGGCATCCCTCTCTTTCTCAGCCAAGCTTTGACTGTCAACAACAGTTAAAAGTTTCTCAACTCCAAGAATCAATGTTGGTAATAATTTATCAACTAAGTAAGCTCTCATCTCAACTGTGGCTTGGTTGTCAGCCAACCACTCTTTAGCTAACACTTCAATTGTTATTTTGCGTGCCAAAGCTTGAGCGTTTTGTTTCGCTACTAGAAGATTTGCTCTTTTCTCTTGTCTGATTGAAGTCAATTGTTCCATAGTCTTTTGTTCATTATGTCGTTTCCATTTCTTGATGCTTCCACCACTACCAGCACTGCCCAGAGGATGTTCCAGATCTGATGGTTCCATTTGATAAGTACTACCAGGAGTTCCTGATCTAATAACAGAAGAGTTTCTGGAGCCTGCTGAAGGTGTTCGTCGTGGAGACATTGTTACTCTAACACCACCAGAACTTTCTGGAGTGTTAGGTTGATAAATATCAGTCATTTTAAATTTTTTGACTTTCTTCTAATAAAAAAACCTGAAAAATAAAAAAAGAAATATAAGCTTGTAACATTTTTTATGATAAGGTCCAGTATCAGTAACCTTATGTCTACCAGTACAAGGGTCAAAATTTCTCTTAAAGATTTCTATTAAGCCTAGTTATTGATATGATTTTGATGGACTATGATTTTTACTATATGTACGTATATGATAGTATATGACAAAAATTAAAATCAAATCACTATTGCCTTCTGGAAAATCGCGGAGAAAAATTTCAAAATTTTCACTACTCGCCCATCAATTTAAAGTTTGTGATAAGTAAACGCAAATGGTGTTCACATTAGTAGACTGAAGTGAAATGCAAATTTGATCAAGTTCAAAATTTGACCATAAAATTTTTGTCTAAGCTTATAGATAGTGTAGACAGTCCAGCTACAGACATATTGTTAGGGCAAAGTGCTGATGAATAAGGCTGCAGGAACTTGACTCAGCAGCTTGATTGGAGATCAGAATAATGAATATATTTTTACTTGTTAAGATAGATCTAGTGATAGAAACTTTTTTTCTCTACTAAGTCTGACTGAAATTCGGTGTTACTTTTTAGATCTACAAATCATTTCCTGGCACGCATGCAAAGCAAAAGCGTGAAATTCAAAATAGTCTCTCGTCTCCTACCTTTTAGCAAAATAACAAAACATATAATTCACTAAAATACCACTAAAAAGGCTATCTGTCAATAATTTGTGATCTTAAAAGTCTGTCGGCCATATTTGTTTACATGTTGCTAAGCCGTAAGCGGAAGTTCTCATTTGACCTGATTTGACATGACCTTTGATGACCCTAAAGGAATTTATTTCCGGATTTCTCGCACTTGCGCTGACAGTCTGTATTTTCATGGCTGGAGAAGAAAAACAATGAGTGAATTCCTTATTTGACAAATGGTTACTTTCTCTGTGTGTTTTTGGTATTTATATATATTTTTCTGTTAAAGGAGTACCTACTAATGGCTTTAGTGACAATAGAGAGATCTCCAAGTCCAAGTAACGATCCAGAATCGGTGAGTAAGATATTTCCATTACTGATTATCTTATATTTTTGTTTTTGTTTATTATTTTTATTGAGTATTTGAAGAAATCATAATGTAAGGATTATCCAGTCAGCTGATGTTGTTGATAACCGAAATAAATTTAATACACCTCTCTGATCTTTTATTGTAGACATTATGAACGTTAGGCCTTTACCTCAACTTGTACAGTCCTATCTGACTAATTTACAATACACCCACCATTGAATTATAAATTATTTTCAATAAGCTTACCATAGGCTATAAAGTTACATAGTTTTGGTAGCAGTTTGAATATATTCTTTACTCTTAGCAGTCGACAGAGATTAGTGTCAGCTATCCATATCACTATCCAAATCCACATCTTATGCTTCTACAATTAATAATGCAGTCACTGGTAGGCCTAATAATGACTGCTTTTGAGAATGATAATGATGTGTTAAAAAGACAAGACAACATGTCCTTGTCCACTGTTCCATTTTGTTTAATTATATTGGAACCAGAATTAGATTCTTGCAAATGCTATGGACAGCTGAAGTGCAAGTCTCCTCAAGTCATTAGCTAATAAATCAAATATCTAGCGATAACATCTGAAATCTTTTAATTTGAAAATGTGTTCTTTCCACTTAATAATATTAAAGTAAATAAAATCATGTTGAAGTCATTGCTTTGGAAATATAACCTTTATCATATAGATCCACCTTATATTTGAAGCCTTAACAAAATTTAAATCTTAGTAGTCCTTATAAAACATTATTTCTTCATTTCAGGATGTTGTGGATGGACCAGAAGATGCAGAGAGTAGTAAATCACCTCTTCGACAGAGAAGGTAGGATAATTGATGACTAACTTTCAGGGCAAGCTTCAGCTTTTTGTTAAGATGTGTTGTCAACTGATTAAAATCTGCAGTCAAGCATTGTCTCAATGGCAGGAACTGAAACTTGCTGACTCTTATCTTGCCTCTTACAGCTATGGGTAAATATTGGCAAAATCGAGCAAAAAAGCTGCCTCAGACTCTGTTATACACTCACTGTTTACGTTCCAACAGCCTTGATATAATTATGTTGATAAGAATTAAGACCAGATTTATTAAGTTTCTAATATCTAAATCTACTTAGAAATGACAGTTTTCATCAAATGACAAGTCTCAAGCTTGTCAGTGTAAATTTACACATTTTCTGTGGATTCATGGTTCCAATTACCACATTTCCAGAAATAAATATGAATTAGTATCTTATTTATCATAGACCAGATAAAAGTCTTCAAGTTTCACACCAGATGATTTGACATAATATGTGATAAATTATTGATTATATTTTTGTGTTATTATGATATTACATTGAAATCTGCTTTAATTGATATTATTTGTGGTGAATGGCTTTGGTATTTGCTTTTTGTTGCATGGAATTTTGTTTATAAACTGTCTTCGTTTGTTCCTTTAATTTTCTTTAATGTTTGCAGAATTTTATGCTTCCTGATGTTTTTACCTAAGCCTATCATGATAAATATGTAAATAATTTTCTGTAAGCTTATAGCTTATTGTATTTTGAATGTCACTGAATGAAATTGAAATCTGCAACTAAGATATTTGATATTTTAAATCCTCATGCTATTGCACTTACTTTTTTATTTGTGAAGGGTGTGGAGCAGTGGAAAGGGTCGTGTATAAATTGTTTAACATGATCAGTTCCTTTTTTGCGATATGCGATATAAACATAAAAGCTTTGACTGATCAGGACATTTTATGAAAGTATTAAATAAATTTTGAAATAGGAGGTTAATCAATTGCCAACACTAGAGTGAATAACAATAGATGTATTGTTATCACCTCTCTAACAGATAAAAACCTGTCAGTTTTATTAGTTTAGTCCAGCAAAGATATTTTTGCACCTCCAGTCCAATTCAAAACAAAAACATGAGCATTTCTAGCCCTCTTTATATTTGGGTAGAATAAACAAGCAAGACTTCTTCTGTCAATTACTACTTTGGGCTGCTCGTGTTTATGTATGAATCAGACCTGAATGTGCACTAGTTAGGATGTTCTTATCTTAAGATTTGTATGGTTTGCCTTTCAAAACATCTGATACCAATCTGCAATTGGGTTTGTCATATTGCATCCCTTTTACAGTGCCCACAAAGCTGAGTAGTATTTTACCATGGTTCTTGTAAGTTAACATACTTTTGTGGGTGTTTATATTTCAAAATTTGGTTAATTATTGCACAGACACATAAGAATAACAGTTTTGAAATTGGATTTTATCCAATAATTTTATTTTGTCAATCGACAGTTTTGTTAAGATAAATATCAATAAATGCATAGAAGTGTAATCTTATTCTTCAATTGACAATTGGTTGAGTAATATGATTACTTTAGTTATTGGACTAGTCATGGCAATAAATCAAATTTTTCAGACATTATAAGTAATATTTTTCAATAAGGTTGTGTGTTGATGGACTTTGGACTCTTCATAGAAATTTCCATGCTACTGACTAATGCTACTGTTTCTGAAGATGGAAAAAAAGTTTGGAAACTAAATGTGCATTCCATTTACCTTAGTCATTACAATAGTGTTCAAGATCTTGTTCTATTGACTTGGTTATCTCGACCTTTGAATCAAGATTTTTGACCACAATTTTTGTGATTTACAATGCACAATGTTTCAACAAATTACATTGCTGTCATATCCTGAAATTTTGTTATAATATCTATATCAATTTCAACCCTTAATGTCATTAAAAGATTAATTTTGTTGTCCATGAATGGTATTTGTAGGGTAAAGTGATTGTAAAACACAATTTGTAATTGAAATTACTAAAGTACAGGCCAGGAAGAAATATCAGTTATTGTTATATAGAGTTGAAATATCTGATTAAAACATATTGACAGGAAGTGGTTGAAGAATGATAAGACATAATATAGGATGTTGAAACTATTAGAACATGGGCGTCAAAAGGTCATTTAACTCATTTAACTTCATTGTCTAATGAATTTGATTAAAGGCCACAGTTAGTTAATTGTTAGAAATATTTTGAACTGAGCTTTATGATCAGGAATACATGTATTCTGTTATATGCTGTTTTCAATGTCAATTTAATAATCCATCTTTGGTTTTTCATGTGCAACTTATTTTAAAATCTGTTTCAATTTGTCTGCATTGTCTTTATGAAGAGTTACTGTAACAAGATGACTATATACAATAATCTGTAACTTTTGGAAATTCTTTACTATGAGCTTATCATGGTGTCTCAAAAAATCTGCAATGCGTCAGAATAAAAACCGCATGCCTGCTGTGAATAGTGTTCACAACTCATCGTCAAAATTTGAGCCTCCAAATTCATGTGTGTCCAGACTTATCCGTGTTTGAGAGTTAAATTAATGACTCGTCTTTTTGTAAACTGCCATGTATAGAAGAGACACATGAAAAATATAGAAAGGTATTTTTGAAGCAATTATGCAATTTTCATACATTTCTAGTACTTCTGAAGATTACATTATTCAAGCCCCAAATCAAACCCCCAAAAATGGTGAATATGTCCCTTTAAGTCATCTGAATTCCTAATTATTGTGTTTTATCATATATTCGTGAAGTAGTTTGTCCACAACTAATATTGTAGCATTAATGATTGTCCAGTAGTATTCTTGACCAATCATTCAGGATCCAATATAGATTATTAACATTAAGATTGGTTAAGAATGAATTATGACTTCATTTTGCCA